GGGAGGAGGAGGAGGAGGAGGAGGAGGAGGAGGAGGAGGAGGAGGAGGTAGCACCAGTGGCAAACTACTTCTGATGCCCAGAAATGACTGCTTGAGGATGTCCATGAGGTCACCAGAGTTCAGCTCGAACCTTTATCTTCTGCCTTCTGCTTAGGGAAGCCCTGGGCTCTTTGAAGAGCATAACCCTTCTCCAGAGCATGGTGGCCATTACCAGAAACCCAAGGAAGTAGCACATACTTTGTAGACATTGCAGGATGGCTCAAGCACCTCTCCTAAGTCAAAGAGCCCCACCATGTGGTAAGCACCGGGCTTTTGAAATGTAAAGAAAGGCAGAAAAGTTGCAGAAAGAGTTCAGAACGCTGCCTTTTTAGGAGCAGGAGGTTCACCCTGTGAGATCTGCCAACCTGCCTAGAAACCACTTTCAAGGGGGTGGTTCTCAGCACCCCACTTCTGCCATCGCCTTCACAGACGTGAATTTTAAAGTTATTTTATGCTGATGGGAATAAAAGAACTGCACCAGCTACTCAATGCTCTATTTTTTTTATTAAAAATATTTATTGTTAGCAGCTTAGAACTGAAAACTATAAACTCAAAAAAAAAATCGCTGCTGCTAGGCAACCCTTTGCTCAAAGAGAGCCCGTTGGCAGCCTTGAGACAACCAGGCCTGAGCTGGCAAAATCAGCCGGGAGGGTGGGATGTACGGACATTTATGGGGAACGCGCGTCATCACCTGCAAGATCAGTTGTGTGATGATGTCATGACATGTGTGACGGCATCATGGCTTCACCCAGACGTCTATGGTTGGATCCTCCCACCTCTCCCATGTTCTTGGGAGCAGAATCCCACCTGCGGAGGGGCCTCTGCTCTGACGCACACGCGCGTGCGCACACCCCACTGGGCTGCATTTCGCCCTCCTTCGGCCCTCACGTTTCCTGCTCCTCTCCTTGCTCAGTCCAGGAGAGGCTGCGCCTAAAGCCCCCCAGCAACTCCCCCGCTCACCTTCTCTCGCTGAATCAGTTCAAACGCAGCTAGCAGCTCCCCTGCGGCCCGGCTGCCCTTCACAACGGGGCACCATGACAATCTTGGCGTGCGGTCGAGGCTTGGCTCGCAAATGCAGCGGCCCAGGAATTCATCGGCACCCTGGTCAGAGGGAGAGAGTGAACTAAGGCCAGACTGACAGCTCTGAAAGGCAGAACACGGCAGTGAAGTGGGTGAGATGTCATTAAAAATGATGGAGCTGATAAGCCCAGCGGCGGTGGCCCTTCCATCCCTCTTCTGGATGTGCCACAGTGCCACATCACTGCAGGCCAGGGACTGTGTCCTCTGAATCCACAAGCAATTCACTGGAAGAGGAAGCAGCCGCTTGGGAGAAAGGTGACATAAGAGCAGCCACCTGCAAGTCGAAGACAGCGCTTGGATTGGAGTCCAAAAACACAGGGAGCCGCTAATGGGAAGTGCAACATGGGCCTTGGTACAGTCCAAGGCCAATCCTTGGGTGGATGGGGCCATAGTTAACATTTGGCCTGGGTAATCTGTTTGGGGGAGAAGGGTCATTCAATCTTTCTCTGTTTCTTAAGCCTATTTACAGCTTCCACTCCACATTTCTTGTAAAAATAGTGGGGAACCATGCTGCAAGTTTTTGGCAATTCAGGACAGAAGAGTTTCTGGGAAAACTCCTCAAGCTGCCCAAGCCTCATCTAGGCTGTCTTCAGGTCTTAGTATCCTGGTACTGAACTCTTTGTTCACCTAGGAAAGCAAAGGTTGGCGGACTGAGGGAAAGAGTTGCAGGGATCTAAAGGCCTCTGCAAATAACTTCCATGAAGTTCTCCTTCAAGGTCCTTCTACCATCATAATGAATGGGGTGGTCTGCCCTATTTATCAGAAGGGCAGTCTACAATTTCACACACAGATGAGTGGGGCAGTAGCCCCAAATTGCACGGTGTGCCACCCAGCTCTTCCATGATCCTTCCTTCAAGTGAATCCAGGCAGAAAGGGAGAGCAGGGCACTTCTCCTGTGAAGTAGCATGGAATTCATCTAAATGTCAATATTGACCTTACTTTACCAGACTCTCTTAAATCTTAAATTAGTTTAGCTGTCACAGCCTTTCCCAGAATCTTGCAGGGAAGAAGTTGAAAACGTTAGGAAGGAGTGGTGGAACTTAGGAGAAAACGAACTAGAATTTCAAGCGCTCCCCTGGGGAAAAGAAAGACATCCCAAACCAGTGTAAATATGCATGGTAGACATGATCTAAGAGGAAATAAAGCTAATGACTTTCCAAATCTTAAGGGGAACACTCTGCACCAAAAGGGGAAAAGTTGAGGGAGAGAAGGAACAGGAGTTCAGTGAAGAGCATTTGCTTTGCATGGAATTCAGTCTTCAAGTAGCATCGCCAGTTCAAAGAAACTACAATCCCTGATGTCTCTTAGGACTTACATCTACGGCACTATGTTGTAATATCATTATTATATTCTTAATCCACTTCTATGATCTCTGTCATGATGAAACCCAAATTGAGATTACCTGTTTTACCAGGTTCTTTTCACACTTTTCACACTTACGTAGGTGTCATGGTCATAGATTTCAATCACAATGCTGGGAGGGGATTCAGCAACATTTTGGGGTGCTCCAAAGATCTCAATCTCATAGAAGATTAACGTTTGGTCCCATGTCGGATTCAGTGTATTCTTTGCTACCACTGTCTTTTGGCTCTGGTGTAGGAAGGAGACAATGGCGTAGGGATCTGCGAAGTAAAAGAGAAGGAGATGGTTTCTGGTCCACCTTCCATTCTGCCCAGGAACATGGCTGAGAAATATCTGCACCAGAGAAAGACCCCTGCACTAGTATTTTATTTTTTTTTATTTTTTTTATTTGGCATGCACGTTCAAGACTTGTTTTTCCCCTCACAACAACACTCTTGTAAGATAGATTGGGCTGAGAGAGAGTGAATGGTCCAAAGTCAACCAGTGAGGGTGGACTCGAACCCATGTCTCTTCATTCCTAGTCCAATACTTCAAAGACTACAACACACTGCCCCTCAGTGTCATCACACTACTGACTCACTGTCTCTAGACCTCTCTTCTCCAACACAGTGACCTCCAAATGCAACGGATTACAATTCCCACCATACCCAGATCCCACCCCCAAATACGCCAAAGAACCCCCTCTATGGACCTCCATACTCAATAAAAGGGGGGAAAAGCCACCCAGGATTGTTTTTCTCCTAGAACCCAGAAAGTTCTCATTGCTGGCATCCTCAGAGAATGAAAGCTCCTCTGTTCTGGGCATCAAGCCTTCCCCAGACCCAGCCCAGAGATGGCAACAAGAGTCCCAGCTCTTCCAACATTGCTAAAGATAAGACTCAAAGCAAGCATCTCCAGGAAGTTGGGCCAAGACCACACATCTTGCATCACTTTGAAAAAAACTTTGAACCAATGAGAAGCAACATTTCTACCTGCCTTCCCTTGCTCCAGCTCCACCATCTTCCGCCCAGAGCCCTGTGCCTTGTCTGCCCATCTTGAATCCCAAGCTAAGTCATCACCACTGCTGTCTTGTTGGCGATTCATGACACGTTAATCATATTACCATCATCAAGAAATGATGCCTCCATGGGTTTTAGCAGGAGACTTCCTTCAGAAATGGTGCACATAGAATGAGGTGGCATTCTTGAGACAGCTATAACCTCAACAATCTCAGTTCTTGGAACCCTCTGAGAATAATTAAAGGTAGGTCTGTGCAAGTCTCCAGTTCTATTAATCTATTGAAAGAGGCCACCAAATAGCAACATTGGGAGCTGAACCTGGTGCTTTGAAGGATACCTTGCCATTCCTGCTTATAGCAGTACAATCATTTCTGATTCTTCAGGTTCTAGTTAATGCCATCTTGAAAAGGGAATTAATCATTCTGAATTTGTGGAACTGGCTGCCCAGGGGCACAGTGGAGACCTTTGTTGCTTCTCCAGGTCTAATCTCAAGGGGCTTTAAAACCCTCTTCTTCCTCCTGAGGCTGGGAGAACCCAGATGACTTGCTGCCCATTCCCTGATGTGGGGCACTGAATGTTGAGCTTCTGCGCTCCCTAACTGCCTTTTTTGGCATTCCCACCTAATGTAGACCTTGAACCAGCAAGACTGCTGCAGTAAGTCTCCTGATAGGAAGACGTGTCTTAGCTGTTGCTGGATTCTTTCTTTCGTCTTAAGTAAGAGGAACGCTGAATGCGCTGCAGTAAACCCAATTTTGAAACCCTTTAAAAAGACCCTTTGTCTCAGCTTTGCATCCATACCAGGTTTCATTTCTATGGCCCTGAAAAGGTCTCTTTCAAACACTCCTTTATGCTTTGTTCAACCAACAGCAAATCACAATTCCATCTTGTCTACGTCTGTCCCATGTGTTGTCATTGGCTGCTGTCCATGCAAAAAAAGTTACTCCCACTCGGCCCAGCCAATCAGGCAGGATGAGATCATCCTTTTGGAGAGAGTTTGAGTTCAAGGCAACAAACATGCACATAAACACACACACACACACACACACACACGTGTGCAGGAGAACGGAGAGATTTACTGTGGAAAGGGAGCAGATCCCTTTGAATTTAGAGAAGATGGTGATCAGTTGGCGCCTCTTTAAACACTGTGGACCAGATAGCTTTCTGGAGGACAGTTTCCCCATCAAGCGAATGAGAAAGCCACCCCCAGAACAATAGGAACGTCCTGTGGGTTCATCTGAGGAAGGGCACAAGTCCGATGCAAATGGCTTGCAGAAGCAATTCACTGGGCTAGCCCTACAGTGTTTCATTTTCCAGTGGAAAACGGTGGTTAGGTCAAACACAAAATTGCAAAAAAGGAACACTGGCAATAATTTTACCCCTCATCTATGATAACTGGCCTTGAAAGTCTTGTTCCACTCAGTGTGTTTGTGAAGAATTTCTAAATTAGATCTGTAAGGAGGGCAGCCTCTCCCCGACCACTTCCTAGGAGGAGATGGGGGAACAAGGAGAGGGAACCTGACTTTGCTAAACCACAGGAGGGACTGGAGTATAAGTCATCAGGAACTGGCAAGATCTGGGAAAAGCTGTGACTCCACCACTATGGCTGGTAGCCCCAGACCTTTGGATGGCCTCAAAAGCCAAAGAAGCCATTGGCTAATGATTCCCTTCTGCAGAGTGATACTTGTTGCAGACCTCAATGCTGGAGCTGGGCATCCCCAATGGTCCCACTCGCCCTTCCATGCGCCTCTTTCTGTCCACTGCCTTGCAATGCAATTGCTAACCTGAAATTGCAGGAAAAAAGAGGCTCCAGTCTCCCACCCACCCCTTCAGGAAGAGAATGGTCCTTCAATCTCTGCAAATTGCCTGCACACTGCCTCTCCCCAATTATATCTGCCCGTCCCATCAGATCCAGCAGAGAAGGTAAGCTGCGGGTCCCATCTACTAGGGAACACTTGGCAGGTCCCAGGAGGCAGGCCTTTTCTGCCATGGCACCCACCCTATGGAACATTCTCCCCCCCCCCCCCCTAAAGTGAGGTTAGCTTCATCCCTGTTAATGTTCCAGGAGTCCCTCAAGACCTGGTGCTATGGTCAATGCCCCCTTCACCCTGGATGCATTATTCTGACCACAAAACACAGCATACACACCGTGCTTCACTGTCATACAATGGCCAACGGTTGCTGACTCTTCCTGCCTAGAAACTGGAATATACTTATTTGTACTTAAATGAGAGCAGTGCTGGATTGCCCATTCACAAGACAATTTCAGCACCAGATCTTTTGAGAAGTATCTTTTCCATACATCTCAGCATCTTGTCACCCCACCTAGAGCATTTTTTAAAATTTTTCCATTAATTGCCAGAACATGACAAAAATGCTGACAGATGCTCAGCTATTTTTCCAGAGACCTCAGTCATGTCTCTCCTGTGCAATAACCATGTTGAGGGGAGATCTTTGCTGCGGAAAGGCTTCAACAACTGCCATGTCTTTGCCTGGATATTTATTTTTGGAGGGGAAACTGAAAGCCAATGTGCACCAAAAAAAATGTGGGTTGCTACAAGCCACTTAATTTTTTAATTCATTATTGCCCCTTGATTCCAAGGCACTTGAGAAGGCAAGATGATACCTCAGTCCCCTTCAGCCTTACCACATCAATTCTCCCTTCCTTTGTCCATTTCCCACTACACATTTACAAAGCTGCCTTTGAAAACAGTCTGGAAATGTCAATATGGAACCAGACACTGTCATCAATTCTTTAGAATCTTCTTCACTGGCTCCCAGATGATTTTTAGATCCCATCTAAAAGGTCTCTCCCAAGCTTGAGGTCACAGTATCTAAAGGAACATCTCATCTGATCATCTCATCTCATCATCATCTCTTCCTTTCTATTCCTGAGACCACCATCAGTGGCCTGCTTCAAGGGACTGCAGAAGCTGCAAGAGTGGTTTATTTCTACTCAGTATGCATGGATTTCCATCTTTGAATTGTTTTCATGGAATTTGCTACTAGCTATAACTTCACTAATAAGGATTCAGATATTTAAAGAGTGATTTAGATCAATGTTTCTCAACTTTAAGATGTGTGGGATCGAGCTGAATTCCCCGACCAATCCACCAGAATTCAGATCGAGCTGAATTCCCCGACCAATCCACCGGGGAATGTACTAAAACTTGCTGGGGTGAATTTCCAATTTTCTCGGTCTTCATTGGTGGGAGAGGTGCAAAATAGCCTGCAGAAGAAGCCATAGTAAGTTACACCTCTTGCCAAACTCTCTTCTCTTTGGTTGGATCATGGCCACACAAAGCACAGAGGTGGTGCAACCAAACCCAGATTTAGAAGATGCCCTACCTGAACTCAAACCTTACATTAAGGGTTCTCCAAGCAAAGTGGAAATCAGCTGCCTCTCTACCCATTTTCTGGGCTAGAAGTCCAACCCACCATTTTATTGGCACAAATAGGCAAAGTAGAATCAAAGACCTATAAAGAGGCTTTAAGGAGCATTTTGCCTGCCATGTGCAGGAAAACTAACTGAACCGTCCATGAGAGGTGGCTGTCCAGCCTTTTCTTAAAGGTCTCCAGAGATGGAGAACCCCCAACTTTTGTAGATAGACTGTTCCGCTCTTGCACAGATCTTATTCTCGGGAAGTTCTTCCTTACAGTTAAATGAAATCTAGGCAACTACGACTTATATCCATTACTTCTGGTCCTTGTTTCTACAACCATGGAAAAGAGTTCTCAGGTGACTTAAAATAGCTTGTGTGTCCCTTCTGTATGTGCTCTGATGGAAAACATCTGCTCATCCCTAGATCTTCCCAGCATGCTTTCAAAAGCACTCATGCTCATTTCACAGTGGGACAACCAAATCTGCACATGGCGCTGAGCAACCTGCACCTCTGAACATCTGCCCCGCACCTACAATCCCAAAGCAGCACAGCCAACAATTTCGGCCTACCTGAAAAACTGTCTTTATCCATGGCCAGCAGGTCCCTTGCCTGATAGATGTAGCAACGTAGATGGTACCTATTTCCATCTTTAAAGAGAGAAAAGGGAGAGGTGAACAACACAACAAAAAAAGCAACAGTATTGAAGTGAACGTCTTGCTTTAAAACTAAAGGTCTAGAGGTAATTTTCAAGAAAGAGTTCCACATTGTTGCCTGTTTTAGTATTTCTCAACCTGGTACCTTCCGGTGGCCTCAGTTACAGCCTTTATCCTGTTGGGAGCCGTAGTCCAAGGGGGGTCTGGTGGGGGGTAGCTTGGGGAAAGTGGTCCTAATACATCCTACTGTGAATATTATTTTATGGGCATCGATACCCAACACTGGACTCCCCACTTGCCAGCTGACGTCTTTTGGGTTTTCAACTATAAATGTCCGCATTACACCAGGAGAGTGTTTTTTTATACAAATCCAGGGGTGTCTGCAAGGGAGGGTCAAAATATTCAAGGCAGTGGCTGTGACCAAGCAATTGAAACTTGTCTACCCCTTTCTTACATGCATTCCATGCACAATGTAAGGAAAAAAGCCCTCTTGACCTTTTTGACCCCCCAGACATCCCTAATTCCATTGTCCATACCATCCTGTGGTCTTTATCAATGTATTTTGCTGTTATTACTATTTTATAGTTCCATTCTTCTTTCAATGTTTTAAATATCTCTGTGACCCACTCAGAGCATTCCAATTATAGGGCAGATCAAAAGTAATGAAATAAAATTCTCCCCAGAAGTGACCCAGAAGACATGGAATGCTTTTAGTACCCCCCTCTCCATTTCAGTCCCTGTCTTGTGCTGACCCACGGGTTCATTTCTCACCCCCAGGGCCACTTACAGTCAAAGATGCAGGAAATGGTCGGTCGGTTCACACCAAAGTTGAGTGTTGACACTGATTTGCCATCATCACTCTTGTCGTCCATCACACCACCCTGAAGGAGAAGCCACTTTCATTTTGGCCATGGGGAGGGCAGGCTGAGCAAAGTTTCTGCCAAGCCCCCCGCCCCGCCTTGCTTTTCTGCAGGAAGAGACGCTCTCTGCCCTCCCACAAGAATCTCCAAGCTAGGCCTGTGTCTCAGCGCTGCCATGTCTGATGTGTCATAAGCCTTCTTCCACCTTCACCTAATGAGAGGGATTCCTACTCCTGGTTCATCGGACTTTCCTTCCTGACCAAGCAAGAGGGAAAGGCCACAAGCGGGTTTTCTGACTGAGAATTCAAGCCTGGTTCTCCCTAGTCATAAGACTGACGTCCTACCTGCTCCACCCAGATAAATGAGCTTCCAATTCCCTTTGCCCCTGGGACGGATATGTGGCAGCTGATGGGGGCTGTAGTCCTGCCTGTATGGCATTGCAGCCTCCGGTATCTTTCTGGAGAGTGTATTCATGTTTATAAACAGATTTAAAATCTTTAAGGTAATGTTGAACTATATACCACAGCTTTGGAATCTGACTGTTTATCAGGAATTACGCTTGGATCAAGCATGGGGGATGGCTAAAAGAATCATATTGAGACATTGGAAATGTGATCTTATTCCAGATGTCAAGGAATGGTTGTCAGAAATATGTGATCTATCCGCTTTGGAAAAGGCAATATTTTCTACTAATCAAAGGATGCAGCAATATGTGTTACCGTGGTTGAGATTTTGTGATATTTTACAATAATATTTTGTACAGATCATATCATATTCAGGTAGTCCTTGATCAGCAACCACTTGTTCAGCGACCTGTTCAAAGTTATGATGGTGCTGAAGGAGGGGACTTATGACCATTCCTTGTAGTTGCATCTCTGCAGCCACTTGATCACAATTTTACGATGGTCATAGCATCCCACAGTCACACAATCACTATTTGTGACATTTGAAGCAGGAGAGAAAGAGTATTGATGCTTTTGGACTTTGGTGTTGGAGAAGACTCTTGAGAATACTGTAGACAGCCAAGAAAACAAACCGATGGATCATTGAACAAATCAACCCAGAGTTCTTACTCGAGGCACAAATGACCAGGCTCAAATTATCCCACTTTGGACACATGATGCAAAGATTTAGCTTTCTGGAGAAGGCTTTAATCCTGGGAAAGGTGGAATAAGAGGACAACCAGCAGCAAGGTGGAACGACTCAGTTACAGGAGTGATGAGTGCACTGTTGGAAGAGCTGAAGGACCAGGTTAGGGACAGATCGTCACGGAGAAAATCTATCTATGAGGCTGCTAAGGGTCAACAATGTCTTGATGGCAGTAATCAATCAATCCATAAAGTCCAATTCAATGGGGATTTGGATGGAGAATGTTTGTGGTTTCTTCAGTTCTTCCCAGGAGCACAAATCCCCATAAGGGCCTTATATCACTCCCTTAATTGTGGCATTTGGGGTAAAATATCTGGCTGCAGGCACAACAAGATGATCACACTTCCTGGATTAGCAAAAAGCTGACTGCTCCATATATTCACTTCTCAGATGTTTAGCAATGGCCAGAAAATAAGGCTGAGCATAGAATTTCTGGTCTCTGGGGCCTGCCTGGGTGTAAAGAAAGTGTCAGGTTCTCAGGTAGTCAGCTTTGTCTCCTTCTGGAAGAGACACAATCATCAGCCTGCTGGCTTTGTGGTTCTTTCAGTTGAAGATGATCAGGTCATGCAAAGGTTTTCAAAATGCTTTCTTCAAATCTTCCATTATGCCCTCAGTCCTTTTCACTACCAGCTTTTTCTTGAAAAAAGGCCCAAGTGTTGATGTCCCTCAAGAGCCTGATCAATAGCATCACAGTTCTTCTTCCAATCTTCTCTGCCATTCCAAACCCTTTGCTTAGAAGCTAATCTGGTGGGCTCTATGTTTGCAAAAGCAAAAAGATCAGGGTGGCAAGGCCTAGCAGCCACACTCCTTTCTCCTTCCTACTTCTGCCTGACAGCACATTACTCTGCAGTTCAAAGGGTGAACATAAACCTAAGTCAAGGACCAGTCAGATTGTGGACTTGGGATCAAGTCCTGCCTGCATATTTCTTGCTCATTCATGCCAAACATCAAGATAAAGGCTCATGTGTGAAGTGGTCAAAGCCAGATGGAGTCTCTGGAAAAAGAAAGAATGTAGTGAGGCAAAGTGAGGTGTGGGGCAAGAGAAGAAGGAAGCCTTCTTGCTCTGAGGAGACCTGACTATTGGAAGCTTCGTCACATGATCTGCTCTGCTCGACCAGTAATCAAAGTGCTTCTTGACTTTTCAGGTTAATTCCTTTTGCCCCGGGAGTGTTTTACGTGCCAACTCTCTGTATTTTCAGGGTTGGAGGTTCCTTGAGGATGTCTGCAGGTGGGGTTTTCACTGTGCAATCATCTTGCCTCATCCACCAACTTTGAAAAGGATGCAGATATCGTCATCTTCTCTAACATTAGTAGCCCTCCCGAGTTGTCTTATTTTTTATCACACATAAAAATCTTTAAGATGGAAAAGAGGAAATAGCTGCAATAGGCCTTTCAATTGACAGCTCATTCAGTGTGTCTACCTTCTAGACTGAAGGGAAGCCCCAAATGGAAGTCTGGCTGGGAACCCCATCTCTCCAAGGATCTGGACAATAACTTTAGGAAGAGGAACAAGAGTGGCCCATTTCAGAGGGAGGCAAGAGGCAATCTCAAAGCAAAGGGTTTGGTCTGTCCCCAGGCCAAGGTGCCCATTCAAAAGGGGAAGTCCAGAAGATTCTCCAAATTATAAAATCTGCCCAAACCACTGAGAAGCGTTTGGCCAAAAGCCTTGGCGGCACCATGAACCCCAAGATATGAAGGCTCCGGGATGATCTGCTGTCCCACTAGAGAATCCAGAGCTGGATCTAATTCTTCAGAGTCAGTTTTGCTCACTAAGTCTGACCAAGCTGGGAACAGAGGCACAGAAGTAGGTCTGTACCTGCCCATGGAATAAGGGAAACCCAGCAGCTAAGGAGAGAATGGAGCCACGCTCTCTTGATCTCTTAGTGCTTGCCTGTGATTGTACAAAACGCCACGGCTATCCTGACAGAGAGACCTTTTATCATTTATAGCACTCCTGTACTAGTTATTGGGCTTTATTGCTTGAATTCTTCTATTCTTTTTCTGCACTCTTAAACTCTTTTGGCAATTTTGTAATTGAAAATTATTGTAACTGCAAATGTATTTGTACTCGAAATGATTGAGTGGATTAGAAAGAGGATGATGTTGATGGCAATGATGATGGTAGCAAGAAACATTTTGCTTCTATGTTGCCACCATAACGTTGAACAGTCACTGAATGAAAGGTTGTTAAGCGAGGACTACCTGTATGCAGAATCCTGCCCATCACACTAGGCTTTTTCCTCCCCCTGCTTAACTCCACCTCTCTAGTCCAGAGGATGATCTCACTGGAATCTTCATAAAACAGCCTCTGCTTTCTCCACATTTTGGTCACCCTTCCATTGGGTTCTCCTGGCTTCACCCTTCTGCACGCCAGAGCCAGCACAGCAACACAGCAGATTCTCTTAGTTTTCCACCACTTGACATGGAAACCCTTTCTGCACCACCCCATGTGTCAAGGAACAGCACCAACCTCATTGTGTTGTGAGCTCTGCTGAAATCCACCCTGGTTTTGCTCCGAGAGACAGTAGGACCTGCTGGATTTCTAGGGTCATCCCTAGTTCTCCCAGTTTGAAAAAGTAATTAGAAGCATAACAAGAAGCCTTTGCTCACCTCACAGGGGCATCGCTTGGTAAAGGTTAGGGTCAAAACCTCACCCACAGCCCTCCACCAGACCCTTTGCACAGGATGACAATGCCAGGGCTTGGGGGGGAGGAATCCTGAAAAGGCCTTGAAGTTAAACTGCTTCAAGACCCCGTTTTGAGGCAAATGCCAGCCAGACCAGCTCCAGAGAGTGGAGTCAAGATTATGAAGCGCAAAAACTTGGCCAGATCTCAAGGTGAATAAGAAAATACAGAAAGATCTCTTTCTTGTTTTCTTTCTTTTTTAAGAAAACCACATGACTAAATGTTATATATTAACTTGTTTAAAACCTAGTCCAAATGTCAAAAGAGAGAGAGAGAGAGAGAGAAGAGGAGGAGGAGGAGGAGGAGGAGGAGAGGACAAAATGCAGCAAAAGGAGAAAAATCAGAGGCAGGGGCAGGAAAAAGATATAATAACGTCTTTGTGCTGGAGCCCTTGAAAAGCCAGAAGATTATGAAATCCAATGTCTTCAGAAAGCCAGGATATTAGTTAAGAAAATAAATGTGGGAATGGGGAACGGTTGGGGCTGTGGGGAGGGGGCACCTCTCATCCCTTCCTTCCAATGCAGCCTTGATTCCCGCTACATACAGTAGGAAGACAAGGCAGGGAGGTATTGCCCCTGCTCTGGAGTGAGATCATCTGGACCGGGCTGAGGACAAGAGGTCAGAGGTCCTGAGCCTCGGCCCAGCAGCTGCTTTGCTAAGTCCACTTTGAAGGCCTCTCCAGGTGCAGGAAAGAAGAGGGGGAGACACGTCAACCCTGCAATCATGGGGGCCAAGCAAGCAGGCAGGTCCCAGGGCCCCTCCCAGGGGCTGGCTCTGAGTCGTGCTTCTGATTCAGCGCAGCACCTCCAACAACCCCTGCTTCTCCTGGCCATTGTGGGAAGTCAAATGGGGAATTGAGACCTCAGCTGCAGCTCACCCTCCATGCTCCAGAACCCCAGCCTAAAAGGGGACCCACAGGTGTAGACAAAAAGCCATTTCCAAGGCCCTGTTCAAACCTGGAGTCCTGATTAACTGGAAGGGCCTGGGAGGAACATCTTCCACCAAGATTAGCATATTATGTGAACCCAACCACCATAGTTTGTAAACCATGGCTTACGGCTTCACGTGTGATGCAAATCCAGCCAACTTTGATGTTTCCCAAAAAGTGGCTAAACATACCATGGTTTAGGTCAATCAGGGTCTTCAGCTCATGGAACTCAGACCCAACCCAAGGCTTCTGATCCAGTTCACCTTATGTGATACGATGCTCTAAGTCTTGTGAGTAACCCCTTCAGGAAACTGAACTCTCCCTGTATTTTTGTATAGGATTCTCCAATTATGCAAATTTATGTCAGACGAGGGTAATGATGGCCATGGCCCTGGGGCTCCATAATAGCAGAGGGTTTTCAATTGGTGCTTGTCAGAAGAACGGTCTTCTTCTCCATGATGTGGCCAACCCCATAGCTCTCCCGTAAGAAAGTACTTGGGGGAAAGGATGGATGGCTGGGTGCGGAAGAACATACTGTACTTACCAAGGCACCTTCCAATGCAAAGACAGCTGCTGGGCCCGTGTGCTCCAGGGGCTCCATCCGACGTCTCCAGCGTCGGCGGCGAAAGGAATCTGTCTTGCGGTATTTCATATGGAACGTCCAGCCAAAGAGGGAGGCGTACTCCCAGCCTTCCCCTTCCAACTCCTCCTGTTTATACTGGAGGGAAGAGGGGGTTTTTTCAGTGACAGGTAACCAAGAAAGTGACTAGTGGAGAAGTCTTATTATCCTCCTCAGAGCTCTTCTTTGGGGTTAAACTTGGGTACAGAGGAATACAGACATAACCTTGGAGAAGTAATGCCACAGCGGTTCCCAGCTCATCCCTGACCAAGAAGAAGAGGATGAGAAGGTTCCACTTCATCACGCAGCCTCCATCCCTCCCACTGACCACCCTGGCAGAAAAGACTGGCAGGCATAGGGAAAGAGCCCAATTTGACTCTCGGACTGCCCGCAATAGAATGGCCCTGGAAGACAGTGCTCAGAGACGACAGGGCAGAGGACATGCTCTCTAAAGTGGGCAAGAGATGCCAGGCTAACCTCACTTTCTAGGGCTCCCCTGATTATGCCCCCAATAGAAGGGTCAGTGACATCATGCCTCCTCAGCCAAAACTGGGTCAGGAGAAGGAAGAAAACTTGAACCCCAGTGCAACTGAAGGCAACTTAAGGTCTGTGTTGGGGATCAGATGAAGGGAACATCCTGAGGACGTGGCAGAAAAAGAGGTTGGCAAAGCAGATTTATGCCATGATTAGAGCCATGTGGGGAAATGCTGGTCTTGCAATTAGATTTATTATTTTATTGAACCCAATATTCCCCCAGTTTAAACACTTCCCTGGTCCTATCCTGGCATTTATGTACTTTCAGCGGCATTCTTTAGGAACTCTGTGTGTATCTCCCTGTTTACATCTTGCTCTATTTTTAATGCAACAAATTCATAGTTATGTTTTAAACATTTGTTGAAATCCACATTTTTGGCATGCACTGTGAAGTGGGATAACTTGTTTAATCCTGGGGCAAGCATGTGAAACATTTCCCATATTTTCCACGATGGGCATGTGGAAAGTTCTTTGTCCGCATTTTAGCATTTTTTATGCATGCAGCAATAGTTAACCTCCCAACTTAGGGCATCACCCAGTGGGAAGAATCCCACATCAACCACATGGAAATAAACAGGAGACGTTCTCAGCAAGTCCTTTATAAATCACCCTTTAAATAAAATGTGAGCACTGGTGACTCCTAGCAAGAAAATTGGTCCTTTGGCTGGTCTCCTCGGAGAACCAGCCTGATCTACAGGCAGCCCACCCAGATGGAAGGCCATCTGCTCAAGTTGATTTGAGGTCCAGAAGGGGCAAGCTTCTCCTGGGTCACTAGCCCAGCAGTGACTCAACCCATCACCTGCAGAATTGCCCTCATCAGCAAACCTTTGCTTTAGCCATCCCTAGACAAATCCAGGCTGCACAGATGTAGGAAGAGCTCAATTCACAGCTTCCTGAAGGAATGGCAAACACATGTAAGCATAGCAAAGGCTTCATGCAATGTGCTACGCAATGCTCATGTTGAGCCTGGTTAAAGGAAAGGTGATTGTGTCCAGCTTAGTTTCCACCAGTGGTGGTCCATGTACACCAGCATGTAACACAAATCTGGTCTCAAGATCATCACATGCTGCTTGATTCTGGGACCCTACTTGACCCCACATTGTCTTCTAACCTGGATGTGATGACCAACTGAGCCTGATAAAGGGAGTTGGCAAAAGCCACTCTGTACATCTTCAGGGACAGCTTGCTCTGTGGTCAGCTATTCTGGAGGTAACAGAAGCCGAGAACTCCGGAGTTTCCAAACACGAGTGAGGTTCCACCAGAGGAAGCCCTCTTGTGACTGAGAAGGGCTGCACTGTAGTGCTGCTGGAGAAGGAAACTGCATCCCACAATGGTGACCGTCACTGCATCTCCCCAACTACTACTTCTACATGCCTCCTATTCAAAGCTCAAGAGTAGCATATATAAACTGCCAGGATTCTCCACGTTTTTGAGGTATCTGTTGTCCAAGGGAGACACCTAGAGCAGAGTAGAAACACTGCCAGTAGAATCCAGCTTGCTCAGCAGGACCACTGCCTGTTCACTGGCAGGCCAAATGCCATGCTTACTACTGCCCCAAATGGCTCTCTCCCCAAGGACATTTTTCTACATGCAAAGCAGCTGCTGGATGGCCCCATCTTAAGGCAGGAAGGAACTAACTCTGTCCCTGTCAACTATTTCATTTCCCCAAGTACGCCATTCCTCCAAGAAATATGGATGGAGAAATACTGCTGAGATGACTTGGAACACATGTAGACTTATATCTCCACTATTTCTTTGCCACTTGGCTAATGTCCCTGGGTTGTGTTTTAATCTGGCTCTATGGCTGCAATAAAGTAGCTTGTTGGTTGGGTTGCTTGTGTGTATTGTATGAATATATGTATTCACAGAAGGTTAAATCACCCAAAAGGTTGCAACATCAGTTTGAGATCAACAATCTTGCCAGGGGATCAATGGAACACATGTTAATTCAGATGATCCCTCTACTGTAGATCAGTGTTTTTCAACCTTGGCAACTTGCTGGTCCCATGCTGGCTGGGAAATTCTGGGAGTTGAAGTCCACACATCTTAAAGTTGCCAAGGTTGAAAAACACTGATCTACAGTAGAGGGATCATCTGAATTAACATGTGTTCCATTGATCCCCTGGCAAGATTGTTGATCTCAAACTGATGTTGAAACCTTTTGGGTGATTTAACCTTCTGTGAATACATATATTCATACAATA